CCTTCCCCAGTGCTGTCACCTTACACGCGTTACCTTGTTTAATCTCCACCGCAACCCGAGCGAGTAGGTCCTACTAAGAAGGGACGGAGCAGGGTTCAAGCCCAGGTCAGCCTGACTCCGAGGCCGAGGCTCCCGGCCAGCGTGCAACCCTGTGCCTTGCAAGCAGCTGTCGGAAGTGGCACAGGCCACTGCCTGCCTCAGTTCTTTGAGGCCACCCTGGGTTCACCGTCACCCACAGGTTTGACATGTCATCCCAGGCAGTGCAAAGAAAGCCTCACAGAAAATTCTGATGAATACGTGTCCCCTCATCAATGTGAACCTGCTTTGGAAGCATCTTACAATTTCTTTCCCCATAAGGAAAGGGACCTGCTGTACTGGGTCCACGGTAACACTCAAAGGCAGGTATTCATTCATCTTCACTTATGTCAGCAATAAAATAAAATCGCTGAAAACATACCAGGGCTGCAAGTGAGAAAGGTCTGGATATGCAGTTGGGGAGTGCTATAAAACGAAGTCCACAGATAATGCATACAATGGAAAAGCCACAAGGAGGTAGAGAGAGGGGGGCCTGTTATGAAACCCTACCCACTCAAGTGCCCCAACCACGGCCCAGGTTCTAGAAAGGGACAAATCACGGATCTTCACAGGCCAATTTCTTGACCCACAATACAAAGAGGTGAAGGCCAAGCCCTGGCCCTGCCCTTAACCCAGTGTCCTCATTCATTCAGGCATTCACTCATTTAGTCAATAAATCTTTGCCGAGTGCCTAGTAGGTGCCAAGGTTTCTATCTCAACAAAGACCTGGGTCCTGTCTTCTTGGGTCTTAGAGCCTGGGAGGGGGTGGAAGACAACAGAGAATCCATATATAATTATGTGCCCTGATGACTATGGACGAGTGGTTGGAGTTTCTAAGCCTCGCTCTTCCCATCTGTAAAATGGAACTAAGCATAGTTTATGCATTTGGTTTATGAGGAGGTTTCTGTGAGGTAAGGCATATAAGGGGCAGAGCCCAGCACAGACCAAGTGTTCAGTAAATGGTAGCTGGGGTTCTTATTCTTTGCATGTTAGTCATCACCATTGGAGATGTCAACAGTGCAAACATTTCATCGATTCACCATTTAAAAAAATATTCATGGGAATAAAAACATCCAGGAAAGGTTAAAAAAGAAAAGAAAACTTGGATAGGACCAAAGAGCAGATTCCCAATGAAAACAAAAGATTTTGGGGACCCAAATTGAGCTCTCAGCTCTGAAACCAACGGTGACACATGGTCCATATGCCAGGAAGGGAGGCGTCCACATCCGTCTGGCTGACACTGAGTCGTCTAGTCCATTTTGCCATCTTAAAAATCCAAACACGCACTCACAGCCTGTCCTGCATCTTTGCTCCACGTGGAGTCCAGCCCACATCTGTGTTTAATCAAATCAGTTGCTAAATGTCACAATGGACTCATTCACAGGTAGCATAAAGCATATTTAACTGGTAATAAAACAATCCACATTCCTGAGAATGCCATTTCAGATAGGCTGCCCTGTCACTGTGTCTCTGCCACATGAGTCGGAATGATGCCGGGGCAGAGATGGGGGAGAACGGGGCTGCGGGGGGCACTAATGCTGCGAAGGAGAAAGCTGTCACATGGGGATCCGTGTGTGCTGGTGAGGAAAGACGTCCAGCATCCGAGCTAGGTGGAGAAAGGCGGGTTGCAGAATCATGAGGCTGCTCTGAGCACACACTGGACTAAACATTGCTAGTTGTTCATTGCAGTCATGCAGAGGACTGATGGAGTTGGAGAGTCTCTCAGAGGAGGTGGCAGTTGAGCAGAAGCTGAATGGATGGGAAGGAGCCAGCTCCATGAAGATCTGGGGAAAAGTGCATTCCAGGTTGGGGAAACGGCAACATGCAAAGGCCCTGAGGTGGGAGGAGAGTGAGTGTGAGTGAAATGGAGAGGATTGGGGGGCAGTATCCACGATGAAGTCTGACGGATGTTCAGGGGCTGCACCCTGCAGGGCTTGGGGGGGGGGTGAGTCACAGCAAGGCCCTGGCATTTGTTTCTGATTGCAGTGGGGAGGCCCAGAGAGAGGCTTTTAAGCATGGGAGTGACATAATTTGACACAGCATGGGGAAGGGTTGACTATGTGACTTCACCTAGTGTGGAGGGAACAGATCAGGGGGTCACAATGGACCCCAAGACCAAATGTGTTCTTCTTACTGCTAAGGATCTTCTCTGGAGGGATTCTTGGGAATGGTCACCCATAAAAATCAAAGTTTCTGAGACAAGTTATAGATGTTGGAGACAAGTTATAGATGCTGGGCACTGAGCTCACACATGCTTACACTGTCCTGGTGGAAATCTGGCAGGAAGCTGACTCAGACCAATCACTGCATCGCATTCCCCTGACCACCATGGTTGCTTTAGGGTGTGCAGCTGAACTAAGCAGGTCCAAATGAGGGGGAATATCAGGAGGTTGTTTGGTACAGAGGCCAGAGCTGCTGCAGCCACTGGGCCACCACGAGGGCAACTGGGCATTTACGTGACTGCCCTCCTCCCAAAAGAGTCAACATACCCACTTTTCATTGATGCCAAAGATGTCTGTTGAAAGAATAGAGGGATGACAGAATCATCACCCTTGACGTTCCTCTCCCGCTCACAGCTCTAAACAGCATCACCACTTTCTCTGAATAGGGTCCCTTAAATACGCTGCAGGTCCATCTGCTTTTCTCCATCTCTTGCACCACCACCTGCACCTCCGTGTCTCTGCCATCTCTTTGCCTGGGGACTGCAGTTTCCTCATTGCTTTTCCTGCATCCGTCCTGACGCTGGTTCAATCCATTAGCCTCACAGCACCCGGAGCACTTCTCCAAACACTCCCAGCTCTCTGGCTTCCCACTGCATTGATCAGCCTTCACTGCGTCCACTCGCCCATGGCGACCTGCCTCTTCTCCGACCTCATGCAGCCCTACCTTTCCACCCTGTTGTGGGTTGAAACGTGTCCCCAGAAAAAAATATATTCAAGTCCTAGCCCCCAGTACTCGGGAATGTGACCTGATTTGGACATAGTGTCTTTGCAGATGTCATCAGCTTCAGATGAGGTCATACTGGATTGGGGGGAGGGGCGGGGGGCCTTAATCCAATGACTTGTGTTCTCATTAGAGGAGAGAAATTTGGACACAGACATGGAGAGGGAAGAATGCCATCTGTGAAGATGGAGGCAGAGATTGGAGTGATGAATCTATAAGCCAAGGATTGCCAAAGATCGCTGCCACCACCAGAAGCCAGGAAACGGGCCGGGAAGGATCCTTCCTAAGGAACCGACCCTGCAAACACCTTGATTTCCAACGCCTGGCCTCCACAACCGTAAGAGAATACATTCCTGTTGTTTTAAGCCACCCAGTTTGTGGTACTTTCTTCCAGCTGCCCGAAAACACCAACAATCCCCCCCCGCCACTTCTCTCTCTGCGCCTGGCTGTCCAGAACAGGGGTCGGCAAACTGCGGCTGGCGAGCCACATGCGGCTCTTTGGGTATGTACATGTGTCCTTGAAGTAAAATTGAAAATGAAAATAAAACTATCCTAGTTTCGTTTGTAAAATTTTTAAAGGATATTATTCACGTAATGGTGATTTCATTTGTTTTAGGGCTCTCGAATAATTTTTAAATCGTTGTGAGGGACAGGATTGGCTCTTCCGTCTCCAAAGTTCGCCAACCCCTGGTCTAGAACATAATTTTGGGGTGACTGTGCTTGCTCCTTCCTCTACCCAGAATACCTTCTTGTAGCCTAGCGTTTCTCAAACGTCAGTGTGTGCAGGACTCATCTAGAGACGACCTGAAAGTTCTCACATTCCCCCAGGTGATGCCCAGGTTGCCAGACTGGGGACCACAGAGGGAGGCCCTGACCCCACCCACAGCTGGCTGATCCTCCCGTCAAGTCATGTGACAGTCCCCAACCACTCCAGCTAGAGGGGTCCCCGTCCTCCCCCTCCAGCCACGCCTTACACAAAAACCCTGGTTTTGTTTTTTCTTTTGGCAGCTCTTCCACTCTCTGAAATCACCTTCTGTATTTAGATATACATTTATTGCCTCATTCCCAGCAGGATGTAAGCTCCATGAGACGGGGGCTCTGCCCTTTACCCACTGTCTTATGCCCAGTTTCTAGAGAGTAGGCTGCACGGGGCAGGCTCTTAGGAAGTAATTTTTGAAAAAAAAAAAAAGAAAAGAAAAGAAAAAAGGAATGCCTGTCTTCTTATTGGCACTGTTTCCAGCCTCTGGCACAGTACCTGGCACATAACAAACATTCAATAGCTATTTAGTGAATGAATACATGTAAAAAGCGAATCAACTGTCCGTTGATAGTTTCTGACTATTGAGCACAGACTATGTGCCTGGAACGCTAGCTAATTCCCTACCTTGGTTATCCTAGTGGATCCCCCACCCAACAAGGAGAACAGAACAAAGTAGGCTCCACTGTGATCCCTTTTCAATTATTTCACTGACATTTACTGAGCACCTATTATGTGCCAGTCTGTCCTAAGCACGAAGGACAGAGCAATGGACAAGACGGAAGCCACTGCCTCAGTGGAGCTGATGTCCAAGTGGGCAAGGGCTGAAAGGGGATAAATATGTAAAACGATGTGTGAGAGAGTGACAGGAGCTGCAGACAACCAAAGCAGGAACGGGGGCTAGGAACGCGGGGTACAGGTGGGGTGGTCAGGGAAGTCTCCACATTTCAGCAAAGCCTTGCAGGAGCGGGGAGATCAAAGCCGAGCGCGGAGAAGCGGCTTGTAATTTATAACTCAGAGATGATAAGTGGCCGAGCTGGTGTTCGAACCCAGGGCAGTCTGACTCTGGGGCCTGTTGTTTTTCATCTCAGTGTTGTCCTACCTCCAACCTGCTGGAATTTCCACCCCCCTGGAAGGTTCATGAATAGTTTCAGGGGGTGTTTGATTGCACCTAGCGAAACATTCCTTCCCCCTCTTCCTCCCAGGGCACCCCCGGCTGCTGTACCCACTGCACACGGTTCTGATTCTTCCCCAGCACACGGCTGCTGGCTGGGCTGCCCTGATCATGTTTTGCGATGCCAGCCGCAGGCACCGTGGCTACGCTGCACTGGTGATGCCCTGCAGGGCGCATGTCTATAACTCCCCGGGAGCCAGCTCTCAGCAGTGAGGAGGAAGTCTGCTGGAGGCTGGGGGCTCGCCCTGGGGCACACAGAGGCCAACATCTGGTTTGTGACAGGGTGGCGGGTGGCCGTCCAAAAAGCCACGGTACAGCCTCTGGGCTAAAGTTTCCTGGCAGTAAAGACAACCTTCTCCAAATTGATACTTTTTCTAATAGAGAGGTCAAGGGCTCACCGAAGTGACCTCCCATGGCAATCCTTGAACACCTCATCAGATCACAAATCCTCCATCTGTCCAACTTCCCGGGCGAAGAGCCTCGTAAAACGGTGCCTTGTTCCAGGTACCCCTGCAGGGGCACCGGGCTTCCTCTCTCCCAGTGTCAACTGCGCCCTCCTTACAAAGCTGCCCATTTCAAGTGTTTACCATTAGGAATGAGGTTCCTTCCGCAGACCCGTAAATTCCAAGTGGGTCCATCTAATGTACCCCAGGAGGATGTGGGAATAACTTACGTAAAGGCCACAGCTTCCCTTAAGATGTCTCCCACGTTTAGATCAAAGCCGTCTTGTCCTTGGTCCTAACAGCCATAATTTACTCCGTGCCCTAAAACCTCACATTGCTTTTAAAGATTTGATGGTCTGAGCAGCTGCAGACCTTGGCTTTCATCTCAGCTGGATTTATTTCCCCATTCTCTGGTCAGCTCTTCCAATCTTTGTAGCTTAAATTGATTCCAAAGTTCCCAGAATTTGGGTGTCATTCTTCTCCACTCCCACCATCACGAGTGGGTGTTTTTGAAGCCTGTCTTAAAACGTGGAGGATGTTCTCATTTCCACAGTACCTCCGATGTAGGAGGTCAGCCCAAGAGTTAGATGAGGCCTGCCCACAAGCCCGGCCGAATATTATTCTGTGTTTATAGTTCCCCCTCTCTCTACACAAGGAAATATTTAAACCAAGGGGTTACAGGGCACGGATTCTGTGGGTCAAGGTTAACATCGCCGGTAATAAGAAAGACTGATGTCACGTAGCCCCTGATAAGATGCATTGAGGGTATGACATCACTTGTGTGGTCTCTTGGCCCCAAATGCACAACCTTAAGCTAATCACGAGAAAACATCAAGACAAACCCAAATCGAGGGACATTCAACAAAATGCCTGACCCAGCATCCATCACAGTGTCAAGGTCATGAAAGACTGAGGGTCTGTCAGAGAGGGAAGACCAGAAGAGGCATGGCAACTAAATGCCATGTGGGGTCCTGAATTGGACCCTGGAAGAGAAAATGGACATTGGTGGAAAAACTGGTGAATCTCAAATAAGGTCTGTAGTTCAGGTACGAGCATTGTACCCACTGTTCATTTCCTGATTTTGAGGGCTGCATTATGGTTCTGCAAGATGTTCTCATCGAGGGAAGGTGGGCAGAGGGTACTCGGAAGCTCTCTCTGCTGTCTTGGCAACTTTTCTGTGAATCTAAACTTATTTTAAAATAAAAAGTTAAAAGAAAAGAAAAAACATAGATTCTAGTGGACAGAGTTTGCATCTGCTACTTACTGACTATGGGACTCTGTGCACGTTACTTAACCCCTTCTTTGCCTCAATCTTTCCATCTGTAAAATGGGTATAAAAAATAACACCCACCCGACCGGGTTATTCTGAGAATCAAACAATTTCATACATGTACTGCGTGGGCAAACCATATTTGGTACTCGGAAATGCCAGAACAAATGTCACCCACTCTTAGTCTCATTTTCCTTACTGCTCTCACTCTGGGAGACAACAAGGTGACACGTGGACAGTGTCCTCTGTCAGCACATCAAGCTGGTGCATTTCATAATATCTGCCAGGGAACTGCTGCGTACTATCTTTAAAATGTACACAGTTAATAATTTCATATAAAAATCCAGACTTTGTGCTTTTTTAAAAAAGAGGACTATTGTTTTTCTTTTTCTTTTTATTAGTTTCAGGTGTGTGATTCCATCTGAACAGAAAAGCAAGGGAAGCTCTGGAAAATTGCGTCTACTTTCTCACATGGAATCATCCACTGCAAATGAGTAGCGTGTGCTGGGTTAGATGGCACGTGCGACCCCTCCCCTATCCACTGCCTGTCCAACACCAAGGAGAAATCCTACCATCCTTGGCCTGATAGGTTTCTTATAGTTAAAAAAAAAAAAAGCTGCTGTGGATCTGTGGTTAGCTGAATAATGCTCCCCAAAGATGTCTCTGTCTTAATCCCCAGAACTTGTGAATATGTTACTTTACACGACAAAAGGGACTTTTTAGATGAGATTAAATGGAGGATCTTGAGATGGTGAGGTTATCCTGGATTAGCCAAGGGAGGAGCCCAATGTAATCACAAGGGCTTTAATAAGAGGAAGGCGGGAGGGTCTGAGTGCGAGAGGAGATGTGACTATGGAAGCAGAGTTTGGAGTAATATGATCTGAAGATGGAGGATGGGGCCACAAGCCAACAAGAAGGGGCAGCCTCGAGAAGCTGGAAAAGGCAACGAAATGGACTCTCCCGTGGAGCCTTCAGAAGGAACGCAGCCCTATTGACACCTTGATTTTAGAATTCAGACCTCCAAAACTACATGGTAACGAACCTGCATTGTGTTAAGCCACTAAGGTCATGGTAATTTGTCACCGCACCAGTAAGACACTAACACAGCACTTAACGTCTCTAACAAAAATAAGAGAGACAAATACAGCAAAGGCCACCCAAATTTTCTTAGGCTCAGCCCACTTTACTACTTGTGTGACCTGCCCTGTTCCTGCGGGCGTTTGTGTTCGCTGCCCCTAAACCAGGAGCTTGATGACATTCGTTCGTTCATGCATTCATGCATGCTTTCTAATTACTCACTGACGGTACAGTGGGGAATTACACAGTCCCTGCCCTCAAGGATCTTACAATCTAAGTGGATACTCAACAGGATTAAATGCAACCTTTAAGCTCTGAAAAGAGAAAAATTGTATTCTTTGAGAAGTACACAAAATAAATTTTAGAAAATGGACAAGTTGTCCCAATGTCCTCTAAGTTTTGTCTGCACAATAACCTGGAGAAAAGAGATATCGTACTTGACGCTGATCATCCAGTGAGGAAAGTGAAGCTCAGAGAAGTTAGGTAATACATTTAAGGTTGCACAGATGGTAAGTGGCAAGCCAGCTCCTGCAGGAGCCTGTACTTCATCCATCAGGTGGCTCAAATCTGTCAGAGCCTCCCCCAGGAACACACCAAGCTGCTGAACTCTTGAACCCACCTTAACAGTCTGCACTTAAGCAGTGGCACATTTCATAGTGACAAACCTGACCCAGAGCTGGCCCTGGGCTGGGCTGCTGGTGGTTGCAGCTACCTTGTGACATGTTCTGAGCAGATGGAAGGACTAGTCCAGAAAAAGCCGATCAGCACTAACTCCACACTTGGCTGGGAGGACCTGGACCCAATCCACCCCCAAGACGAGCCTTTCATCAAAGCTCATGCACTGGACGCTGATACTAAGAGAGGGCCGGGGATTCCAGTGGGTGGGTAGCCTGCAGCTGACCGCTCTGTGCAGAGATGACGACAGACTCAGTCTATGTCATCCTTGGGCATATCACATGCTGGTTCCCCTCATCAGCCATGGGTGGCAGAGCCTGAAAACTAACCTCAATGTTTCTTCTTTCCTTCTCTCTCATAGTTTGGAAGTTTGAGTTGGGCCCAGGGCCATCCTGAATATATACTTGATCTCCCAACTCCCCTTGCAGCTAGGTGTGGCCAAGTAGCTAAGATCTGGCCAGTGTCATGTGAGCAGATGCGTGGTATGCTGGGTTGTGCTGTTTAAAGGAAGTTATGGCTCCTCCCTTCTCCCTTCTCCCCGCTTCCCTCCGGATGGACTAAGCCTGTTGTGAGCCATCCTGGGTCATGTGGATGAGGGCAGCAGCTAAGGACTGCGGGTCTGGGTCCCTAACACTGCAGAGCTTCTTACACCCAGACTGTTACATAAAAGAGAAATAAACTGCTATCCTGTTGAGCCATTGTTAATTTTGGTCTTTGTTACAGCAGCTGAGCATAACCCCCCTCTCCACCCCATGCTATTCCCAAACCTTCATACACCACTGAAGCCAAACAAAACTCTCCGAGACAGGGCCCTGCCAATTCTCTAAGGAAAGTTCTTTTGGTTGAACAGTAATTCCATTACTTATGTAAATGTGGAAGAAAAGAAGTTGGGGGGAAAGGACAGGGATAGCCCCAGACAAGTCTGTTTCGGTGACAAATCCACGGGAACACTGCATTCCAGCTACTCTGGAAACCTGTAAGAAGTTTTGAAGACAGAACGTGGTAGGCTGCCTTGAAATATGGTTGCCAAGAATCCCTGCGATCCCTCTGTTCAGATGCAATTCCTCCCATCCGGTGGTGGGGACTCTTCCCTTTGTCCTTGAATCTGAGCTGGCCTTGCGATTTGCTTTGACCATTAATAACATGTAGATGTTCTGGAACTTCCAAGTTCAGGCCTTAAGAGAGTGAGCAGTTTTCCCCTTTTTCTTGGAACCCAGCTGCCATGCTGTAAGGAAGCTGAGTAGGCGCCTGGAGGAAGAGAGGTCACGTGGAGGCGAATCAAGGTGCCCAGCACAAAGCAGCACCAACCGCCAGATGAGCGAGTGGGACCCTCCTGGACATCTCAGCTGAATTTGGTACATGAGTGACCCGCAGGCATCCCCAGGACGAGCAGAGAAGCCACCTCGTGGAGCCCCGCCAACCCCAGAAATTGTGACAAATAATACATTGTTGCTGTTTTAAACCACTAAGTTTTGGGCTGGTTTGTTGCACAGCAATAGCCAATCCATACACAAGAACTGTTTTATTTTTCTTTGTATTTCCTCAGACCCGGTTATAGTTCCTCGAAGCCCCCTGTATTCTTTCTTTATACCGTGTTTCCCCGAAAATAAGACCTGGCCGGAGAAGAAGCCCTAACATGATTCCTCCAGGATATGGAGGGCACACACCCCGCACATGAGGGTTTTATGACCTGTTTCAGGGAGAAGGATGCC